GAACAAACAGACACACAGACAGACAAAAATTGTAAAAAATGATATTTTGGCATATGTACCGTGTAAACATACATATGCATTTAGTAAAAAGCGGTTATTTTAATATTACAAACAGACACTCCAATTGTATTTATTTGTATAGATTATTATGCCTTCATTTTTTTTATTTTAGAATGGTACAAGTTTTACTTATGTTAGTTGTGATTGCCTTTAACTGAAAGAGCACAATGCATGGTTTTGTATATTTTTTAATTATTAATTAGAAATGTGTATCGTATGTTGGCGATCCAAAATGAATAAAAACCTCAAAAAACTCTACACCGATTGAGCTCAAATTCTGACTCGATATACCCTTCAAAGATGTTTCTTATCTTTTTTTTTCAACGAATATGTACCATAGCGAAGCGTGGCAGGGTACAGCTATCTAAAAATATAAAACTGTTAAGTTGGTTTATGAACGCTTCAAACACTTACAAAGTTCTGCGCCGCTCAAACTCAAACTCTCTTTATTTCATAAAAAAAAAATTGTTTGAAATCGTCTTTTATTTAGACTCTAAAGTCATAGATCAACACACACAAAAGCAATAATCTCTGTTTTGACAAATAAATTTACTTAACAAAAATCAAACCCATACAAAATCTATGATATGCCTGTGCCGATCTACAACATAGTACACAACCTGCTTCAAACATTGTTTTTAGCTATTTTTCGTGTCACTTTTGTTCCTCATTTCTCATCAATGAACCACAATGTGCCATAGGGTACAGCTAGTAAGTTAGATATCGAAGTTTCAAAGTTACTCATAGTATGAGCTATTAAAGACGATGATTACACATGAAGACGGGGTTCAATTATTTTAATTAAGATCTTACGCTAGCATTCCTTACTTATAAGTCCAGATAGGATACAATAGCGTACTCCAGTTGTTTATTGAAGCAATCTCATGACTATACAATTTAATTTGCCTTGAAATTTCTATTTTACTCGTGATGGAATGGAGTGGATGAACAATGTGGCAGTTGTTGCTTGCAAAAACTGAACTACTTTTTTATACTATGTTATATTAGAGAACGTCAATGATATTGTATACAGACAAGAGGTAGATCCACCACCAACGCTCGAAACGCGAGGGTCCTAATTAGAACCTCTGCGAGCGAGCGCACGTACTAATTATTTCGAGAAAATTCATAAATTGCTTTCGTGTGTGTTTTGAAAGTGCACAAATTACGACAAAAAGGTAAATAAAGATAAAGCAATATCATATCACGGGTAAGTGTATGTTTTGTTCTAAAATGCAGTAATAGATGTATGTACCGTTACGGAACAAATATTTTATGCGTGCGGTACAAATACTCGTATAACGTATCTTCTTTAAAAAATCATTGGCGAAGCTGCGTTTTGCTTTGTATCTATGTAAAGATAGCTTTAACCCGTCATCTATTCCTAAAATCGTCCGAAATAAGATGTAGCTGGCTACCTTTTTAAATTTTATTTACCGTGGGAGAGAAATGCTTCGACACAAATAGACCAGGCTCGACCGGAGACATACAGCAGCCTTACAGAAAATCAGTGTTAAGCAGTTCTTTAGTTGTTTTGCACCGAGTGAGAGAGAATACCAGAGCCTGCACTGTACGGTTGGCGTAGTGGTTTAAGCGGTCGCCCGCCGCTTCCTATTACGCTGAGTGTTGTGGGTTCGATCCTCACATGGAACACCACTTTGTGTGATCCACAAATTTTTGTTCTGAGTCTTAGTGTTCTTTGTATAATTTTCATGTAAATTTGTAAAGTCCCTGCGGCACAGGATACATTCCTAATGCGAGAGTTGTTTTTCATAAAAAAGAAAAAAAAATGGAGAATGGAGACTCAAAGGGTGGTAACGCACTTGTGACTGTTGAATTGCAGATCTCCATAGGCGGTGGTAGTCACTTACTATCAGGTGGCTCGTCTGCTTGTATATATTTCCTACACTGTAAGAAACCAACCAAACCCTCCTCTTTTTTTCACATCACGTCACATCAACAGCCTTTAATAGTCACTGCTGAACATAGGCCTCTTCTTAGAAAGGAGGGTTTGGCCTACTATACCACGCTGGCTAGACGGGTTGGTATAGGGTTTGTGTCAAGTTTTCCTTCTTTTTGCAGTGATGGTGTCCTGCGTTGTTTTGCGCCCTTAGTCGGCTCTTACGACACCCACGGGATGAATTGGGGTAGAGGCATTCCGTATTCTTAATCCGTCACTACAAGGACCTCTTTTTTTTCTGTGTGAAAATCCCCTCGGACACCACCCACCAGTGGTTATGTCGAACATGAACCGACCAAAAACCGCAAGCCGTCTCGGGTACTAGTAGCCGGGGAACCAGGTAGCCGGGGAACTCTCCTGATTCTAGATGAAGAACTAAAAAGAGGGGCAACGCCGTGTTAATCTTCAGTTCAGGTTCAGGTTCATGTGCGGTGATAGTCAGTTACCATCAGGTGAAAAAGAGAATTATGTTTGTAGCTAGTAGCTATGTATGTATCTTCATCTGTTACTGTCTATAGATGCTTCTAATATTATCATAGTCATAAATGATTTTTTTGCAAGTCAGTTAATTATAATCATAATCCTTAAAGCTTGTATCTGATTAGCTACATTAATTTCTGTACATACACGTATAATTCTACACAATTTCTTGACATCAACATATGTTGAACTTAAATATGAATTATAAGACCTGTTCGAACTATGTTCTTTCGAAATAAAGATTGATTGCGATTATTATCATAATATTTATGTGGTTTATGTTAATACTGTAATCATAAACTTAACAGGAGGTTATAGAGGTTATGGAGGTTAGATCAAACTGAGACAAAGCAAATACCAGGTTATGTTATTTGTTTTGGCTCAGTTTGATTTTTTATGCAAGATCTGCTAAGGTTTTCTTAAATATTCCAGGGTCACCTTCTCTTTTAATATGGTGACTGCTATTGACAATACGCATTAAACATTACGAGTAATATTATATTTAACACAATCTTATTTATACAAATAAAATTGAAGGGGCTGTTTGTAATGAATCATGGGTTTATTTCATGCTCACATATTTGAATGGTACCTATGCCTAAAACCAGTTTAAATATTTTTTGTCTGTCTGTCTGTCTGTGTGTTCCGGTTAATCTTCTAACGGCTAGACCAATTTTGATAATATTTTACTATCAGGTAGCTGTCTCTGTAAGGAGTAACTTAGGCTATTTTTCCTCTCAGAAAAACACTTTAAAAAATTTCCTGCTCCGAGAATCAAATCCACCACTAAGGCAGTGCTTTTTAAATTAAGCTTGTATCTAATTAGCAACAACGTTCCGAAAAAAGGACTAAATATTTATTCTACGTTGTGTAACATTATCTTTAATAGTAATCAATATTTTTAGTTATATTTAACAGTATATTTATATTTAAATATGTTATAGTAGTAAATAGTAGCCTATGTCCTTCCTCAAGAATAAATTTAACTACATGCCAAATTTCATTAAAATCGGTTCAGCGGTTTAGCCGTGAAAGCGTAACAGACAGACAGAGTTACATTCGCATTTATAATATTAGTAGAGATTACTATGATTACAGTTTAATACATAAATGACAGTGAGCAGATAATTATATTTAAAAAAAAAGAAAACACGACGCCCGCAATAAAATTTGTTACGCGCCATACATCTGTAATATAGAAAGTCCAATAATCAAATACGATAACCAAGAACACAACTTTTAATATTTATCTTTCTTTTTTTTTTCTTTCTTTTTTTTTTAAAAAGACAACTCCCGCATTAGGAAAATATCCTGTGTCGCGGGGGACTTTACAAACATACATGAAACGGACACAAATAACAACCAGCCATCTAACTGTAATAAGACACGAGTCTATCGACTTTTATCTTTCTCAGGTAATCAAACTAACAATGTTCTTGTTAATTAAAGTGAAACGATTTTACACACACTTGTTAAGTTTATTGAGGTGAAGTGAAGGGGCAATTTTCACAGCAAGTTTTACTAAGATTTGTTTTGTCAGCGTTAATGGCTTTACCTCTAAGCTAGTTTTATTGCTGAGTATTTTACTTTAAACATTATAAAGATGCCTACTTCTCTAGACGTAATTCAGCTTTTAGTGGGCTTTGAAAGATACTTTCGAAAACTATGGCTTCTTGAAATACCAAAACATTTGATTATAAAAGTCTGTTTTTTACTAGGGTAATGCTTGTTTACAAATGCTATTGAAAATTAGCGTGCTATGCTGCCTCGTTGTTGAAAGGGTTTTTGCGCGATGATCGTAGGGTTTAAGTACCATTTGGTTCTTGAGTCATTAAATTATTATGAGGATGTTATGTAATGTTTGTTACATTTATATGCTTACTATTTGACAAAACAAAGATTGTTGCTTTTGTGTGTGTTGATCTATGACTTTAGAGTCTACATAAAAGACGATTTCAAACAATTAAAAAAAAAAATGAAATAAAGAGAGTTTGAGTTTGAGTTTAAGATATTGTCAATTGTATACAGTATGGCAAGTAGGCGATTTATGGTAATACAAAAGCTGTTTTAAAATGTGGGTGTGATTTCTCAGTTGTCCACCATGGTAATGTGTGTTATTTCAACTTGAATGTAGATCAGCTCCATAAACAATTATTTTATGATATAGGGGGCACATATTTTACTCAGATTTAAAATCTAAAGTGGATTAGGATAAGAAAAACAGATGGGTTAAAGGAGCTTAGATAAGTGAGAAAAGAGACTGAAACTCATTTAAAGATACCGTGTATGTATGTGTGTATATGTACAGGAACACATCATGACAACAACATTTCAATCGTTTCAGTTTTTTAAACACAAAACGATTGAAACGTAGTATTTTTAGAGTTTTAATTTTCTTTTTTCTTCTTCAATCTTTGTTTTTTTTTCAATGTGAACTGTCATAGAGTTTCACTTAATACAAAGTGTTTTTCGACGCTAAATATTTCTACTTTTGTTCCAGCCCAATCGATCCTCAAGCAACTACATACTGCGTCGTTGCTTCTCACCTAAAGAATTACACTTCTCTATGCGCAGCTCAACACGAGCTAAAACTCAAGCGAATGGAAAATAAATCCAACAAGTTAAGTCAGGAATCTGACAGATTGAAAGAAAGAATCAATGATACCTTCCCGCAATTTTCTCTAGAAGTAGACAACAAAATAAATGTTGATGAAGGCACGTTTAACATCTTCGAAGGGAAAATGAACAATGTTTTTAGAAGAAAAAAGTTTGGTAAGTTTGATAATAATAAGTTTATTTGCATAAAATATGGTACAAAAGATGTTAATAAAATAAAATAATGAGAACAGGATACATTTCCCCATTAAATAGCATGCAAATATTTAGAAGGAAGGTAAAAATTATAAAACATAAGCAACGAGATACAGTTTTAAGTTTGTAGTTGTTAATTAACTCAATGCATTTCTAAAATAAAAAGACCGAGTAGCGAATTTTTTTTCTTTAGTTCAACACAAAATTTATGGTATGGTAAGTTTACAAATATTTCAGGTGCATTGTAAATAAGTGGTGCCATGTAAACACAACTTGCTCTGAACATCTCTAAACGAATTACAGGCATTTTTAAATATCTTTGGTTATTTTTACGCTTATTTGTGTTATCATTAGCTTCAAACAATCCTATATTACACTTAATGAATTCTGCCTCTTCCAAGATACATGCTAGGGACTGTTAAAATTCTTTCTGATTTAATTATCGACCTACAGGAATCCGACCACTACGTATTGAATATTGCCCGAAGACATTTCTTTTGAGCTATGAAAACACGGTTCACTTCTGATGCGTAGCCCCAAATTAGTATACCATATCGAATTATGGTGCACACATATGCATGGTATACTAATAACAACGATTGCTTACAAGCCACGTCTTTAATCGTTTTTAAAGCGAATACAAATTTGTTAATTCTGACATTAGGACAGTCACACACTGGTAATATGTAGTACAAAATGTACAAACTGTTTTATGCATATTTAAATTTCTTTGTGTGTGTATTTAAATTCCCTGTGGTGACGGATTAACAATACGGAGTGTCACCACCCATATTCATCCCGTGGGTTTCGTAAGAACAAACTAAGGGAACGAACTACGCAGGACAACAGCACTGCAGAGAGAAGAAAAACTTGAAACAAACCCTATACCAACCTGTCAGGCCAGCGTGTGGAAGTAGGCCAAAACCTTTTTAAGGAGAGGCTTATGTCATACCAGTGGACTACTAAAAGCTGTTGGTGATGATGATATTGAAATTTATCTCTATCGACGTAGAAGTGCCAATAGTTTAAGAATCGAATAGCCAAGAATCAATGTACAATGCTTAGTTTGGGTCTCGAAAGAATTAATTTATTATTAATTAATTTACTGCACTTCGTTCAATTGGATTTCGCTATATGAACTATATCTAAGATGAATAAATGACAGGCAGCATGTAGCAAAAAGCTGTGATCGATGTTAATCAATTTTGAAAGCGCTTTTTATACTGATTGCCACCGATAGATAAGTCTAATAAATTCTTCTTAATTATTGATGAGGCACACATTACCTAAGCTGCAAGTTCTAGATTTTTATATTCTATGTAACATATTATTATAACCTTACTTTCAGGTCGAAGTACAAAGGTGACAGACGAAGATCCTGTCATCGCATGTGTGGGTAGTAGGACTCATCATATAATTGAAAACTTGGATCCGAGCGTAGTAAGTTTATTAAGATAAATATAATTCCCTTTGACAGCTAAAATTTAGAAGTAACTACGTAAATGTGCTTCATAAAAATATGACCTAACAAATTCATTACTTGTTTGGCGTTTCTTTGTTAGAAGATATTAAAGTATATTGTTTTTGATGTCAGACTTGTTTAGTATAAGGTTTTATTTGCCCTATTAGCACTTCACCTGAAACCTAATAAATTAAGAGGACAATAAACCTATCTAAACTTATTATATTCAAGTGACTTTAATAATTAATACTTAACACTTTTTTTAAGAGTATTAAATCACATTTCACACAAAGTCTAAATCAGCAGCAGTTTACAGCAGTTTTGTTAGCCAATATACTACAGAAAAACACAATGTAGATTAACTGTCACAGACGTTTTTATTATCCAGGGATAATAAGCTTTGTGGCTAAGTACGTAAAAGTAAATCATTTATTTTAAATTAGGATTTTTCTATTTTTTTTGTTTTCAGACATATTTTGTGAGCGTATTCGGAGTAGCGAATGACCGTCGTTCGGGATCATTATTGGCTTCAGGAAGTGTGCGTCCAAGGACTTCTACGGCTAAGCGGCTTCGAGAAAATTTGCCAAGCAAAGTGGACATCAGAGGGAGAAACGTCTTTTATTTTAAGGTACCTAATTAGCTTTTAACAGTCTTCACAACAGAAGAGGTTTTATTCGACTGAATACTTTTTGAGTGTCACTAAGTAACGCCATTTGTGAATTGAAATGGAAAATGCAGAAATAAAAAATATAGCTTACTAGCTTCTGCCCGCGGCTCCGCCCGCGTGTATGTTGGTTGTCGCGGTAAAAAGTAGCCTATATTACTCGCTGATAATGTAGCTTTCCATTCGTGAAAGAATAAACAAAAATAGGTTTAGTGGCTGAGGCGTGACAGTGTAACAATCAAACAAACATACAAATAAACTCGCTTTCACATTTATAATAAAAGTATCGATTACAATTTGTCATAATTTAGGCATATTTTGTTTTACTGACTTCAAAAAGGTTATCAATTTGGATGTTTTATTTGTATGTTCGGGCATAACTCCGTCATAAATAGAAGGATTTTTGAAATTCTTTTTTCTTTAAAAGTTGTTTATTCCCATCATAGGTCCCATTTAAATATCATAAGTCTGATGATGAGTTTTGGAGACAGAGAACAGAACTCTTCAAATAATGACAGCAAATCAACCGCGATTACTGTTAGGTTTTAGTGCTCTTTGTTAGTATTGTTTGAAGTCGGTTCAACATTTTTTAAGAAGGTTCAAGGTTTTGAACTATAATTTATTTGTAAACAAAGTTGCTTTATGCGTCTATACCACGCAACGGATTTTACCACCAGTTGTGATGATTTTTCAAAAAAGTTTTAAGTATATGTATAATAGACAAGACTAAAAAGGAAAACCTTACTGTTGGTTTACTTAACAGAAAAGAAAAAAAGAGCGCACCATACGTGCGCCAGGTTCGAACGCTTTGATGCCCTGGTCACGGCGGAAAAATCCTAAAATTAAAAATTAATTGATCGTCTATTGTAGGCGACTGTTGGATCTGGTGGCGGTCTATGGCTTACCATTTCATCATGTGGCGGAGCTGTTGATGTTGAAGTTCTGGTTAGGGGAAAAAGACTTCATATGGTCAGGAATATTGGTAAGTAGAAGTTTTTACTTAAAAAAAAATTATGAGCAAAAATTATTGAGTCTTAAATATATCTCTAGAATGAAACAAGTAAATAATGTAAAATAAATTTCCGTAAAAGATTAAGGCAGGCTAAGCACACGCCCACTCACTCTGTCAGAAAATTACTATGAAAACACGGCGTCCTTTTGCGATGAATATATTAACAAACTCGTATTCACATATTCGTATATTTAAGGGCTCTGAAACCTAAAATGTGTGTTTTAACAAATTCAGCAAAGTCTGATTGATTGATGGAGATGCTCTCATCCCAACAACAACTTTAATAGAATATAAACCACTCCCCCTGGATATAGGCCTCTCCTTAGAAAGGAGGTTTTGGTTTACTATACCATGCTAGCCAGATGGGTTGGTATAGGGTTTGTGTCAAATTTTCCTACTCTTTACTCATACCAATATGAGTGCACTAAATATAATATAATATAATATATTCTACCACAAACACACAACGCCATCTAGTCCCAAACTAAGCAGAGCTATAAATACATATATACTTTTTTTTTGTATATACATACATATTATACATAGAAACACCCAAACCAAATCAAACATTAAATGTTCATGCACACAAATATTTGACTTGAGCGGGAATCGAAAACCTTTGGAATCGCAATCCGTTAAACAAACCACTACGCCATCCAGGCGTCGTGTCGTCGTCGTCCATCCAAATGTATGAATAATTCTTAAAAAATATTAAAGGCACAACGCTTCTTCGCTTAATGAACTTTTATAACAGAAGACTTTAATATCAAAATGTAAATACAAGTAGTTTGGCTTTTCAGATCCTCATGCCAAATTTTTCGTGTCGACTCCAATACCAACTTCTTCGGTTCAAGAAACAAGTGACGAAGGGTCTATTCAGTTCGATTCGAGCTCTGAAGAAGCTAGGGTCAGATACGTCATCAAAGTCATGCCGAGCAGACGGGACAGAGACAATTCTGTTGCTATTGAGGTGATTATCCATTGCTAATCGTTCATATTCCAGTCTGTCAACTGATAATATTGATCATTGCTTAATGGACTACACTCGAGAGCATTGAATCCGGGTCACATGAAGATACCTGAAAATTTCGTTCTCTTTTGTCGTCTAGTAATTAAATTATATAAAAATAAATTCCTAAGCGAAAGTAATAAAATTAATTATTTATCACCTTGTATTCCATTTATGAAAATTGACATAAAAAATCAATTTCATCTTAAAACAAAAATAGGACCACACCCTTTTCCATAAGCATAATTTATACAATTTTAGGAAGTACTTTGTAAAACATTTAGATAAATTTCCAAATTTTTAGCTAACAGCATCGACCACTAGGTGGGGGGTGTCCGCACCAGAACTGTCTGAAGATGGATCTACGGTGAGGGAGCTAAGGCCAAGAAGGTCGTGCAAATCTGTCGACGTGGCCTTTATACCAGCCACACATAATGCCACAGATGTAATCAGGTGCGTTTTCACATCTTTTTTTAAACCGACTTTAAAGAAAAAAGAAGGTTCTAAATTCGATTGTATTTTTTATGTTGTTACCCAATTTGAAAAATTATTTTTATTTTGAACTTATACTAATTTGAAGAAAAAATACTAAAATTATGTACTAAATAATATTAGTCTAAAGATGTTTTTTTTGTTTACTGTGTAAATTTATATGTTGAGAATTTGAAATGTTTAACCTAAACCTTTTGCAGATTATTTTTTCTACACACCTATTAAACATAACGAACTACAAGAACTTTTATATTATGTTACTTGCGAGTTCATGGGCGAGTCCGACTCGCACTAGGCCGCTTTTTTTTAAATGATAACTCCCGCACTATGAATGAATCCTATGTCGCGGGGGACTTTACAAACATACATTAAACGGACACAAAGAACACCCAGACTGAGAACAACAATTTGTGAATCATACAAAGTGTTGTCCCATGAGGGAATCGAAGCCACAACACCCAACGCAGTAGGATGCGGCGAGGTGACCGCTTAAACCACTACGCAATCCGTGCAGTCAACAAATAGACATACCTACATTAAAATACCATCCATATAAGGCAGTATAATAATGATTAAAATATACTAATATGTAGGCGTATAATAAATGCTTAATACGATAATACAGGATATCAATTTGTATCCAGTTATATCCTAATCCTTCCAGCTGTTTTGCTGTGAAGTACTACCAACGTAGTAACATACTTATTTTTAAATTAATTTTATTATTATCGAAACTAGAAAGATTAAGAAACAATGCTTTAAATGCTTAAATGATCTTCTTTTTTAACAGATACTGCATCATTGCACGAGAAATTGTGAACGGAGGTAGTTATTCCTGTTGGTTAGCAAAAAAATCAACGCTAAAAGGGCAATGCATAGACAATGTGACGAAATCGTAAGTTTACTTTAATTTATTTATTTATTATAGAGATACGCCAACAGTATACATATACAACATTGTTCAAAATGCAGTACAATATAAAGGATAGTTCTTATATGTAGACCAATTACAGGCATGCACAGTATACATCGTTAGATAGACACCCACTCAAGATTAAGATTAAAGTGAACGAAAATCAAAAAAGTATATAGTACTAAGGTACACAGATAAGTTTAAACAATGAAAGCGGCAGTCATGCTAACGATTTCAGTATCATATCCTTAAAGTGTATTGAATTGTTGAAAATATCCAGTTGGTCAAATTTACCATTTAGCATATTATAATCGCGACATGCATGTACCAAAGGAGAGTTTGGTCCTAAATTTGTTCGTGGCAGTTGATGGCAGAAAGTTTTCAAGTCATCATAATTCCCTGGTTTCTGATTTTTGACGACCACCGTTCACCTAAGACTTCCATAATAAGCGTGTAATTAATAAGAAAATAACAATAAAAATCAATTTATACCTAATAAATTGTGACTTGGTCGTAAACCCATCTAGCCAAGAACAAAATTGGATAACGTTTGGTTTTTCTTTTTTTAGTCATTTTTTTTCAACAAACTAGTGTAATATGCTTAATTTGACAAAGATGACACTTAATATATATTTTTATAACAGTCTTTATATTGTTCTCAACTATATAGTTAGTTGAGAACAATCCTAAACATAAGTAAGAAAACAAGAACACGATCCTTATCTTAGTGGATCTAAAGTAGGTTACCAGTGCCTAGAAATAGTTCTGGCTGAAGTACTGTCATCATAGAAAATTCACGAACTGTCAAGCCATAAACTTAGTATAGGTACTCATTAAGTCTTTTTTTCGTACCTACGCGTGGAAACCCCATCGAGCCCTCATCCCAGCGGGGTTTTCGGTGTCGAAATCAAACCGTCTAAAACTTACACCTATGGGCACTGCGTCTAAAATAACAGGGATTAGGAAACAACTTTTAACGCCCACAAAAGCGCGGGCAATACTTACTAAGTGTGTGCCAACCACAGAGCATATTCCCTGTTCTGTGGTGTCAACTGTCTTTTTTAACCTGACAAATAATTTATTTTTTCAGAGCGCGTGTAATTATGCATAAAATAGTTGGATTAAAACCTGGAAGGAAGTATGCTGTTCAAGTTGTAGCTGTAAATAAAGGAAATTCGGTTCCGTACAATATATTATATGTTGATACTAACGCCAGCTGTAAAGAGGATAAGTAAAGCCTTCCAATTAATGATAAGCTGGACTTATGAAAATTAAATAATTAGTTACTTCAAAAATGATTATAACCACGAAAAATGGCGCACTCAGGTGTTCATATAGTATTACTTTCAACACGAATGTTTTACGACTTTATGCGGCGTGTTGAAACCTTTATGCTTGCTACGTGCAACACGTCGCATGCTTTCCAGTTGGGTCTTAATCATCATCAACAGCCTTTGATAGTCCACTGCAATACAAAGGCCTCTCCTTAGAAAGGTGGTTTTGGGCTACTACCTATACCACGCTGGTCAGATGGATTGGTATAGGATTTGTGTCTCAATGGTTTTTGTTAATTGCATACAGTTCTGTACATACGAGTTGAGTAGCAAATATTCTTTAAAGCATCATCAGTTTGAAATTAAATTTTTGGTTCCCGTCTCAAAAGAAATAGGGGTTTCGTTCCAAACGTATTTTTCTTGTTTGACTGTTTTGCTATATCTGGGCTAATTGTGAACCGACATGAACAATTATTTTTAATGGATATTGTATTAATTATTTCCACGTTTGTTTCGCAATAATTAACACAAAAATTCCAACCGCAAAGCTAGCAAAACCTTTTGTATATCTAGTAAGTGATATGAATTAGATGCATTAAAATAGGTTTTTTTTCAGTGAATGAATAACAATGGTGGGGAATATTTAAATTACTGACGTTGAAATGAGACATTGGAGAAATTCGCATTAAACTATAAACCTCATATGGTTCATTAGCAGAACCAATCCTAAAGACAAGGTACTAAGCAGTTACTTAGATTTGAATTTTAAAACAATTACGTGCTTATGTATTATGCGTGTCAATCAAGAATATCCCTTAAAAAATGTTTTGCCTCCTTTGTAATTTTTTTATTATTTATGACTAATCGGTCACGTCAAATAAACAACAAAAAGTAAAGTATTTTAAGCGTTTTTCAATCTACAAATATTTTGGTACCAGTATTAGTATGATATTTATATTTTAATTAAAATGAATGAGAATCTTCAACAAAATATTGTATAATGTACATTAGACTTTTAGATGAAAGAGACAAATAATATGTAAATATTGCCAACATACTTGACTTAATTGTGTTCCATAATTCGTTATAGAAATTATAATTTATGTTATTTTAGTTAGATTTATTTGTGGCACTTATACTAGTATGTAATTTCCTTTAAATCACATAAATAAAGTGAAAACAAATTTTGTGTACGTGTCATAGTTTAAAAATTGGCAACATTATTCTCACATCAAAATGAAAATCGACTCTAAATTTTAGGAAAAAAATATGTTACCTTACAACCACAATGCCACTTCTTTCTAAATAAAATAACAATCTAAGAAATCTGCAAAATGTAGAAACAATGCAATGTCTATGAACTATAACGCACAAAAACTTAAACCAGTGTTGAACGTCAAAAGTAAAACGCTTTAGGTAAAATAAAAGTAAATATCTTATGACAATTGTAAATAAAATAAAGATCAGATTGTTAAAATAAAATAATTAAAAGCAACTCAAATTTCTGTGAGAAATATTAACGAAACGCCTGATGAAATCTAGTAGCAGTGTCACTAATAACTATTATTTTCCTTTTATTTTAAGGCGCTGTGCTAGTTAATTTTATTTACACTTCTGTATAAAATGTGAACTTTCATCGCAAATTCAATTTTCGATGGTATTTTAATTTTTTTTCTACACAAAATGGATTGCCAGTAAAAAACTGACGTTTTTACTTCATTGCGGTTGATTATGCATCAATATGATATGGTACGATATAGATAAAGTAGTCATCACAAGTGCACATGTAATGTATGCACAAAACTTAGATATTTCAGTACTATACCCGGCTAGACTCAGGTATGGAGTGTAAGAAGAAATATCTCTGTAGGTATATGAAGTCTCCGTGAAAATGCGTTAAATTAAAGAACGCAACTAACTAACTACAGTAGCATCAGGGTAAGTTTTTAAAGAAAGTGCCCAAAAGTTTTTCACTCCACCTACAACTGCTATGTCTGTCATTCCCTTGGCTACACTAAAATGTCGATTTTACCAAAATTTAATAATATAATCTGTACCTTTTGTGTTTAAAAATATTATGAACATTTCAACACGCATCACTGTGTACCGGGCTTTAGCTTAACATGAATTTGAACTTGACATCTATAAAAGAATCAAACGAAAAGATTAAATTGATTGGTAATGTTCCAGCTATAACTGTATTGAAACTAACTTGGTGTTATTGTTTCACCCAATGTTGGTAACTCTTTGTTTTAACATTACTTTATTTATTTTACAGTGAATATATGGGCGACAAAATACTTAATATTTAGAAGTAAGTAGTTTAAATAATCTATAAGTTCCTATTATATTGTATGTAAATAGAGTGGTAAAGTTTAAAAATTAAATAAATATAAATATTAAAATTTAATATTTCGTTTTATTTACTTAAAATGCTTGTTATTTCACTATAGGCCACATCGTATGTCAATTATTTCAATTTTAGCTTGACTTTTTGAAATTTATTTTAAACATAATTATGTTATCAGATCTAATAACGAAAGTATTTCGTAAACCAGTTTCTTGAGTTTTATATTTTAGATTTTTATAAAAAGCCGTGTGGTGTCGTGGGACACCCGATAGGAACGAAGTTGTGACGATCGAGTAAAACTGATTTGACACGATTTTAATTACAACGCCATCTATGAAAGCGGCTATTACCTACATATTAAAAACAATTAAAACAATTTATACATTGGTAAAATCTCCTTGCGAAATGATTTCCTATCTATTCGATAGATGGCGCTGAATGTCTGACAAGATGACACGAAAATAAAGAGCAAAAAGCCAACATCACGTGGTATTCCCAGGCGGTCACCCATCCAAGTACTAACCACGCCCGATGTTGCTTAACTTCGGTGATCGGACGAGAACCGGTGTATTCAACATGGTATGGACGTTGGCGAACGTTAAAGCAAATTTAATGTATGGTATCCACAGTTAGACGTCAATTTATATTAATAAAAAAGTGTCATTCCAAATTTTCGTACGATTTTTTTCCGTCTAGCCCCCTTTCACAACGCGCGATAAGGAACTTCGTTCCAATAAAAAAAGTAGGTGTTGTTTGTTCAGAATAATAATAAAATTTATCATTTATAAAAACATGAATTTTACTTGATATTTTAATAAGGATAAATGTTAGCAAAAATTTACCTTACCCTTAATTTACCTAAGTTACCTACAGCTATTATACATACATACCTACAGCTATTGTACAGCTATTATAGAGCGCCATCGCTTCCTTCTACGACGAGCTAATGTCCTCAAAAGAAGCGGCGGGACGGGAGAGTGACGAACACCGGGGTGGTTTTTAAACAATAAGAATCAGACACACAGATAAGGGCCTACGCCCTTCTCCTTACGGACCCATTCCACCCCGTTAACAAAAAAAAGGTACAACTACTAGTGTTGCGCTAATGTACAAAGTTTATGGTTCTAGTTACACACACACAGTATAGCAACTCAGTTCTCTGAATAGCACAATAGACTGTGGAAAAATTAGCGGATCTCCTCAATATTAGGATGATACTTCGTCCTCGCCTAAATACCAATAAAGTAAAAATATACTGTTGTTTTTTCTATATTGCCTGTTTAAAGTACAAGTTACAACTTGTACATTTAAAACAACTACATGAATCAGTCATTTTCCTTATTCAATTATGATACTGTTAATGTATAATATAATGATATAATTTTTAAATGACATTGAGACTTTTCCTACACCACTATATTTTGCCCAATCAACAATAATACGACCCCTTACTTATCCACAAACCTACCTCTACTTTTGGTACTTTTGTTCATTTTTTTACATAATATGTATTACATTATTTTTTACTATTTTATTTAGAAGAGATTTATTCTCAATCATCACTCAATTAAGAATGTTAATATTTTCTTAGTTTTATTAGCAGGTTGCAGTATTTTAGGTTATTTTTTTCTATAGGCACATACTCTGAGGTACTGTCAGATTGGTGTCAAAGTCAAATTGTTAATTATTCGCATGTCAGGATCAGATGTCCTTGTTTTGTTGAGATTGTCAAGAATTAATTTTCAATTTGATTTACTTTAAATTGGATTGTTAAAGGTTATTTTAAGATTAAAAGATTAGCAACATGTCAGTGAAGGAAAAAGAGTTCTTCGGGCCGCTGACACTACATCAAAAGACAGAAAATCCGTCGATTTTCAAAAGTGAGGAATTAGTGGAAGTTTCTTGCCTTTTGTGCGATGAAGTCTTTACCCTGCCTGAGCATGAGAAGCAATTGCTCACACATTTGTTCATGACACATCGCCTGGTGATTGCAGACGTCAACCAGATAGCAGATTTGAAGGAGTATTTGCGGTATTGGGGATTCCGTTTTAAAGGTTAGTCTTTTACCGTAATGTGTTATTTTATTTATAGGAAGGGCCGTTACAGTGAATAAGTCAAAAATAAATACAAAATTCTGCCATTACTATAATTAGACATTGCTCGTTTTTCTGACTGACCCAATTATAAAGTTATTTCTATTCATTTTGACTGTATACTTTTTAATACAGTAAAACACATCAAACCTGGAACTAGGTTCAAGTAGGGTGCTAAATGACACTGGAGTTCTAAAAGTTTGAATATGCTTTAACTATGCAAACACATTATATTATAATGTAAATAATTGTTTGTGTTTTTTCAATAACGGAAGTGATCATTGTCGTCAAGTAATATTTTATTTTAATGGAACTAAATTATAATTTCGATCCCGCTTGAATGTTTCCAATTAGGTGTGAGGATATGAAGTCTTCTACAATACAACAAATAATAGACCCATAAGAGTTCTTTAATGTAGCAGTCAATCTGAAACTGCCACTGTATTGTTGTACTGTTAATAAGCCTAAAAAATATTCTTATTGTGCTTTTGCTATAGTCAAAAAAGAGACAAGTGTCAGCTAGTCAGTATCAATATTAATAAGTGAGTGTGACCCATAAGAGTTCAATTTTTTTTCACTTGATTCATGTTCAGGTAAAAAGAAAATTGAAGTTCTTCACACACACATATAATCACATAATTGATAATTAATAGATACTTTTGAGTCACCTAATCCTTCGACCAGGTTGCACTAGCTATTGAAGAGTCAACATGCAGTCAACCTGGTCGACCCAAAGGGCCACATGTCAGTGCCACTTGTGTGTGTTAAAAAAAGTCATTGGTCCTGGTTGCCATACGAACAGCTGTTGCAATAGTTACGGGCAGTAGTTAAAATGTCTGAGAACAAACGTCTTGCCCTGCCCACTTTGGGAAAAGGCTTGGAGGAAGGACAACATTATTATCAATAACATATTTTTAGATTATTATTGTTTCCTTAGGATTTTGTTCATAACCGTGTTTTATAAAACGAGGATTAATGAAGCTGTCTCAACTGCAATAAAAATTGTTATATTTATTGCAGATCAAAGTTTGCCGTACTTCTGCACCACAATGTTGCTTGACAATAAACCAGATGGCACGAAGTCAAAGAATGAAGAATATTACCTACTAAGTGATGTCTTACCTGAAGACAAAGAGTTACGTACAAATCTACAGCAAACCAGATTAGAGAAACTATTACAAAGACATCAGTTTGAAAGAGAAGATAAAAGCTATGTAAGAGAATGCCTGTTTTGTCGCAACATCTCTACTACAACTAGAACAAATTACTTAAACCATTTGTATGAAAAACATAATTTTCACATTGCCAAACCAGACAACTTGATATTTATTGATGAATTGGTTGATATGATTGCAGCCAAACTGGAGAATCTTCAGTGCATTTTTTGTGAGGGCAACTTTAAAGACCGCACTATACTTAAAGAACATATGCGTAAAAAAGGACATAAAAGAATTAACCCTGAAAATAAAGAATACGACAAGTATTTTTTAGTCAACTATATTGGTGACAAACAGACTAAGCAAAACTATAAACCACAAAGAAAATATAACAATGTAAAGAAGTCAGTGGAATTTGACAATGATTCCAATGCAGACAGTGATCCAGAGTGGTCTGAATGGACTGAAGAACACGGTCCGTTAATAACTTGTCTTTTGTGTGACCATACTGAAACTGAGTATGATAAGATTTTAGCACACTTGAAGCTACAACATGAGTTTTCATTCTTGAAAGCTACGGAAGGTATGGGTTTCTATCACAAAGTCAAAATTGTGAACTACATTCGTCGGCAAATACATCTCAAACAATGTTTAGCTTGTGAAACTAAATTTGATGATTCAAAAAATTTAGAAAAGCATATCAAGGAAATGAAACACTGGGTTTTATCTAAGGAAAAGTGGGATCAGCCTGAATATTATTTTCCAACTTATGAAGATGATTTGTTCCTTTGTTTTATACAGGATGATGATGAAAGCTGGTGGTCGAGTGATGAACATGAAGTTGATAAAAGAAATAGCATGTCTGATAATATATCAAAAGAGATGGCTATGGCTGTGTTGAATGATTAAACAGTTGGGTTTAATGATTTCAATGATTCATATTAGTAAAAATTCTATGTCTTAGGCTACCTATTAGGGCTTTCGTCATTTTAATTGTGAGAAAAAATTATTAACATGCCTCTGGTACAATAAGTGAATTTTAAATAGATCGAATTCAGATCTAAGTTCAAATGGGATTTTAGAACAGTTGCATATTACTGAAGAGTAACTGAAAAAGTGGGTAAAGATGTGGTGAAAGTTAATTTAAACTAAAACATGTATTCCATAATCAAACCGATTTTATTTATATTAAAGTAAGAATTTATTAAATGGCACTTAAATTTAAACAAATTTATTATTATAATTTAATATATTTATTAAGCATCAATGAGGTAATTATGGTCAGCTATTCAATGTGGAGAATAGAGCTGTAAATTAGAGTCTAGATAGCATCAAAAATATCCTCATAAGTAACCAGTGCTTTCTTGCAATATTTCTTTTTTGAAGTCTAATTATTTTCAGTTTGAAAATAGTACCATATAGTATATACGTGGGCCACTCAGAGAGAAACTAAAAACCAACTTAAATGGCTAAAAATTAATATTTTTATTAAATCTTGTTACAGTACTCTGCACCAGCCTCTAAACTAAATTTCATTCGTTTAAACCAGTTTTCGAAACACTTATTCCAGTTCGCCGCAGTTCTACGGCCTTCTCGAATGCTGTTAGCGCATCTGCAGGCGAAAACTATCCATTTCAGTTAATTTTAAATTTAGTGTATAAAAAGAAGTAAAACGGTGCCGGATCAGGACTGTAAGGGTGCCCTATGACTTAGACCCGTGTAGTGTCCATGAAGGCCCTTGTTTTGAGTGCTGAGTGCGCGGGCGTTGTCGTGGTGAAGCATCCCGCGGAGCCCGGTATTCGGTCGCTTGTTTTTCATTGCAGTGAAAACTGGCAGGCATTTCGTAGTGTAGTAGCAGTGGCATTTCGGTGATAATACTGGTTTGATTTATTAATGAAAACGACACCAGATACCCCGTCAAATTAAAGAAACTAGCAACCAAAATTTTACCTTCGTTTCTCGATCTCGGCCAAACCGTCGACTGACGCTTTGTTTAGCTTTGTTTCGTCACCTGTCACAATTTTTTTTTAATACCTTTATAAATCCTGTCACCTCACCATTCCACACGGGCCAGCTTCTGAGCTTCGGTGAGGTTGTGCGACACCCAGCGCGAAACTATCCCTCTCAAAGGTAGAAAGTAGAATGTTGTGAACGATCCAATCTGCAAAATATGCTGAATCTCTTCGTATGTAAGTCGTCTGTTTTCTTGAATTATTTTTTTACTGCTAGCACGTTTTCCTCAGTAACAGCCGTCGAAGGTCGTTCTTTCTTTATCCCCCGAAGATAGACGTCTGCGCTTGAATTCGTTATGCCAACGGTAATACCGGCTTCAAACAATCCTATAAAGTTTTTTGGCGATAGTTTCTGAGTGGCCTGCTACATATAACTTTTATAAGTTCTTTCTTTCATTAGTAGTCCTGGGACTGCTTGTACAGTTCAGTACATGCAAGAATATCAATGTATATCTGTCGAATGAGTTTTCGAATAAAAAAGAGGTTTTTGCGTCGCAATGATGTTACAAACACCAAGATTTTGTTTACTATCAACTCGGCACGGAGAGTCAACTCGGTTCGTCGATCTTCGAATTGTTTCATTGATTTGTTGGTCTAACATTTAATTACAGCTTGTCTACGACAAAACAACGCCGATTTTACAATATAAATTAAATTGTCTGTGACTGAATTAAGCTTGCACAGACTGATTAATGATCTTGTTTTTATTTGCAATAGTTTTATGTTTATTGGGCAGGGTAAAAAACCCTTGTATTCTATCAACAAAAGCAAAGAATTAAAAAAATACAAAATAGTTTTTTTTTGCAATAAATTTGTTATTAGAGCCTCCTTTTCAATAAACTGCCTATGTTAGGACACTCTTTCATAACTAAATATAAATTAAACTTATATGAGCTAGTTAATGTCTTGTAAGTATCTTTCAGTGACTTGATAGAGGAGCAGGAGGAAAGGGCCAAGAAAAGGAAAACTTGACACAAACCCTATACCAAACCGCCTGGCCTTCCGTTCTAAGGAGAGGCCTATGTCAGAGGACTATTGAAGGCTGTTGATGATGATGAATTCCAACTCTGAACAGCTGATGGAAAGTCAGTCTGAGTAAAAATGATGAAGGCTAACATGGCCCAGGCCTAAATAGAGAAATCTGTTTAATGTACTCTTGAAGGTTCCAAAAATAGCAGTCATTTCTTAACCTCTGTCTATGTTTTTAGTCTTATAAAGAAAATTTTGTACAATTACTAAACAAATCCCATAAGCAGGCAACTCTCGACGGTACTGAAATAGTGATGTATGTACCTAAATATTATTATATAGGTAGGTACCTATTCTTTTTCTTTTTTTCTTTTTCTTTTTTTTTCTTTTTTCTTTTCTTTTTTTTTTCTTTCCTTTATTCGTGAGCACATAGTCTTTTATAAAAGTATATGAGAACACCGACTGTACTGATGGTAATCATTTTTGAAGCTTGTCTGCAGCATCCATACATGATTGTCTTGTCGCTCTTGGTCTTCGCGATTTTTTTTCATTTTTAAGAGAACTCCCGCACTAAGAATATATCCTGTATCGCGGAGGACTTTACAAACATACATGAAACGGATCCAAAAGATACTTTTTTTTTTTTTTTTTTTTTTTTTTTTTTTTTTTTTTCCGTGCGGAATCCAAAAGATACCTAGACTCCGAACAACAATTTGTGGATCACACAGTGTCGTCCCATGTGGGGATCGAACCCACAACACTCAGCGTAGCAGTAGGTAAGTGGCGTGGCGACCGCTTAAACCACCAGCTATCCGTGAAGTCATTGAAATATTTTTAGGCATTCATACTTATTTGGTGTTTAAAAGTATTTATGTTAATTTATTCCTAGTCTTAACCTAATAGGATAAAGCTCTACTTAATTTAGATTCAAGATAGCAATGTATGTCTAAATTTATGTATCTTCTTTTATTCTAATGCACGGATGGCGTAGTGGTTTAAGCGGTCGCCACGCCGCTTCTTACTACGTCGAATGTTGTGGGTTCAAACCCCACATGGGACGACACTGTGTGATCCACAAATTTTTGTTCTGAGTCTGGGTGTTCTTTGAGTCAGTTTCATGTATGTTTGTTAAGTCCCCCGCGACGAAGGATATTTTCCTAATGCGGGAGTCGTCTTTCAATAAAAAAAAATCATCTTTTTTAATTATATTTTATTTTTCAAATTACTCTTCATTTTTTTTGTAAGGACCTAAATAACTTCTACACTCCATTGTCGGCACTCGCTGGAACTTCTGAAGATACATTATGAAATCAACTTACTTGTAATGCCATAAGGCAAAACCGGTAAAATTAAATAAGTAGTGAAATATAAGTACAACTGAGTTTGTTTTCATAATGCCTTAAATAACTTTGCCGTCTCCACTCTATAACTGCATTAAATACAACTGCACTAAATATCAAGACGAATATTTACTCTGAACACTTCATTTTAAAACTAATTTAAATTTATTACCAGCTAGGCAAGACTTTCCAAGCTTATCATGTAGCCGACATACAAGTCATTGTACCGATAAAGGCGCTTTGTCACTTATAAACAAGCTGTTGTATTTTATCCTATGATGGTAAAGCTAAAGTAATTGGGTATAGGTATTTAAGTTTCGATATATCGGTACGTTTTCAACGCACCTTTGTTTCAGATCCCCTCGGTCTCCCCTAATACAGAAAAAAAGACATTTTTTTCTATATTTATACCAGAAACAACTATGGGTCTTTAGAAATTTCCAACTTTCTGGTAAAGACTCCTTAGTCCCAGTTAACAGAAAGTTAAAATAAAGACAGGTCTTTATTTTTGTCATTATTATTACAAAATCATGAGCCAAGCAAAGCAAAAAGATTCCTAAATTACATAAGGAACACATCCTTCTACCTGTCATTTCACATTTGTCCGACACGCTGTTTATGTTGTGCATTCATAAAGGCAAACAGTTTTTTTGTACCTATGCTTAGATATTGTATATTCGAATTGGGGGAATTCTCTCAACAATACAGATCAAATAAGATCAGTAAAAATACCTATGCATCAACTACCTCGGTACACCAGTCCCTAATGTCAGTCCCATTCGATCTCTCACTAGGGCTGAAGGGTGGCAGACAAAGTCATGATGATGCCGCAAGAATGCAGTCTCCGCCGACAAAGTCACCCTCACAGCACTTCTCGCAGCAGTTAGGAGGAGGAGTTTAGGAGACCCACTACCTGTTCTATAGTGAAGGTCGTCTCACCCGGGCTCGAAGAATCTCGGGAGCTGTGATCCCACCGGTGCTGTCGGCGCTAGGAGTACTTACTACTTTCGGAGTCCATGTCAATGAAATACACACTTAAAATTACTTCTTTATTTTTATGCGATCGCTAATCTGTGTCGTTTCACTATGACATCCTGTATTTTTGTATGTCCTGTATTTCCATAAAAATGACATTTAATTTTGATAAATACTAAATATTATGTCAGTATTGGTTTTGTACGGAAAAAAGCAATCCATAAGATTGTGATCTCATTCGAAAATCTGAAGTATTCAACACTGAACTGTCAAAAGGGCCAGCAGTTAACAACAAATTTCATAATGAACGTATTAAATTTCATTACGATTCGTGTCTGAAGATTATCCTTATTCATCTCTATACAAACTGCTCGCCAAAGTTTTTAGAGTTTACAAAATTAATTTATTGAACTTCTGTTGACTTTGTAAAATATTAGTATAGGCATAAATGTTGAAATTATTGACGTAGGTATAACACAAAGTTATCCTGCATTAACAGATAATATTATTTTGAGAAATGTTGATCAGTCATGGTAATACGGTATTTGACTATCGAGTCAGAATACTGGGTTCTGTAGTCTACAATGTAGTTATCCGTGTGGTGACGGATTAA